TGATTATATGGATGATATCTTAAATTTGCAGCATGCAGGTATTAAAATACTAAATGTAATGACTGATTAGTTTTACATAATTATCTTGCATATTTTTCACTTTGATATATAGACTTTCTATATAGAGCAGCATCTTCAGTCATAACTTTATAATTATAGTTTTTGGTTCTTTGGATTTATCGCGATCCAATTCAATGACGCCATGTGGCCAATGTCGACTCGCGCCTTTAATTCCATGTATTCAGGATGCTTCACAACTATACGATTGCTGTGTTAAAATTTTATTTAAACTTCACGGAGCACTCCCGGCGGACACGTTAACTGGACATCGTGATAGATTTTCGAAGCAGTTCCATGAATTAAAGAGCTTTTATAATACTATCAAACATATGCAATATTTTAAGCATTTGATAGCAATTCCGTCGTTACCTGAGGTAAAGCCTTCACTTAATAATTAATGCACGGTGTGATACTTGTATATATTTTTTTGTATATTTTTGTATTTCAGAATCCACCCAATTTTTTAATACAATCTGAGTTGAGAACGTATGTCACACCGATAGTCGTACTTCCTCCTGAAGCATCTATAGATAACGAGACTGCCATAGAAAATCTTATCGATACATCTGATACTGGATCATTCACAGGCGATCAGTTAGATTCTGTGAATACACGAAATGGCTCGATTTCACCTGACGCTCTTGCAGAAAGGTATACAATTAAAATTCATCTTTATTATATTATCTTTTATTCTTTCTAACAATCTATTCTTTTACAAATGCTATTTTTTTTCAGAGATAGTCTTATCGATCATTTGTATCAGGAAAACGTTCGTCAAAGGCAAGAAGTAAATCATTTATTAATGGACCATCAACAAATAGTTACGGATTTTAGAAATCGCGTACTGGAATTGGAATCAACTCTTTCGACTAAAGTAAGTTGCTTATGACTCAATTTTTATAATTCTATTTCATTTCATAAACTTACGTAAATTTACGTAAATATTCTAGAGTAATGAAATTGTAATAGAGAAACAAACCTGTCAAAAGTTAATGAAAGAAAACATAACTATATTAGCAAGGTTTCACAAAATTGAAGGTTAGTAAAATTTTAATTTATAATTTTTTCATGATTATATAATTGTGTTATTAAAACTTATATATGTTTCTAAAATTAATAATGATACTACCTTTGTTAAATTTTTCAAGAAAAAATGAAGTTTTGGAGGAAAAATTTAAAAAACTCAAGGATGTTTATTCCAAGTTGAGAGAAGAACATATCGATTTAATCAGAAAGGTACGCATTTGAAATATCAGCGATAAAAAATTATCATATCTTATTAACAATATTATTATTATACATGAAAGAAAGCTGAACTAGATAAAGAATTGGGAGGAATAAAGATAGCACGAGAGCAATCTGAACGTCGGACACTAAAAGCAGAAGAACGATTACAAGAGTTACTTCAAGGACAAACATCAACGGAACAAGAAACAGAAAGAGTAGCGCAAGCGCGTAAAGATTTAGAAGATGTGAGAAAGAAACTCGATGCTACTCAAACTGAAAATTTGGTAAATAAGAATTTTTAATCAAGTTTTAATTCTTAATTATTCTTTCTTGTACGCATTGACAGGAAAATTTATTCATTATAGGCGTTAATAGCGAAAATAGATTTTATTACGTCCGAGAAAACAGCTTTGGAAGGAGATCTCCATGATTTATTAGTACAAAAAGAGGAGTTGGATTTACGAATAGTAAATTTGGAAATTGATGCCGAGCGATCCTATAATCAAGTCAGGACAGATGCTAATACGGCTTTGTTCGATTTATTATGTGAGTAATAATGTAATTGAATAAATATTTTAAGTAAAACTTGTTTATATAGAATTATAAAAAAAATTACTTGTTTTAGTGAATGCTATATCGGAAGCGGAATCTATTTTACATCACGCAATGCATACGATCGATAATCCAGCCATATCGGCATTAACTTGCACGCCTGATTATCTTGCAAGTTTATTGGAGCCGACAGAAAAATCGTTTAATGATTTGGAAGAAACATACAATAATTATATACTTGATACAACGAAGGGAAAAATACTAATTCGTGCTGCTGTACATAGTGCATATTTTCTGGCTCTCTATCTGATATATGCAAAATCCACTTCAAATACATCGACGGATATTGCTATGGCCGATAGTAAGTTTCATAACTGTAATAATGTTTTAAATATTTGAAGATAAGATATTACTTTTTGATAGCATGAAAACTTTTGATAAAGATTAATATTTATTGTCTATTAGTTAATTTAAAGTAAATTACGAAATATTCTGGAATATATAAATGATTTTGATATTTCCTACAAAATCCGTCATACATCTTGTAGGATTCGCTGATGAATGCAAACAATTAGGTTCTCAAGGTTTAATCATGTTGAGTTATATCAAAGAGAAATCTTCAATGACCGGTGTACAAATTGCAAATGTCAAAAGTCAGTTACAAAAGATTTCGTCTCTCATAAGTACATTATCGACTACTCAGAATAATGTAGAAATTATCGGGACTTTAGTAGAAGATGAATTGCAGAGTATGGATAAAGCTATAGAAGAAACGGTTGCAAGAATACAGGTGTTTAATAATAAGATACTTGTAAAGTAATAAAATAAGATATAAATAGCGATATAAATTCTTTAAATTTATTTTTAACAGGATATGTTGGATAAATCTCGCGCGGCAGATTCAGGTGTAAAATTGAAAGTGAACGAACAGATCTTAGATTCTTGCACAGATCTGATGAAATGTATAAGGAGATTGGTACAGAAATCTCGCTTGCTGCAAAAAGAAATTGTGGAACAGGGAAAGGTACGGCTAAGTTTATTTTAACAATCATTTAGAAGTTATGTCATACAAGCTATGTCAGTTAATATAATAAACAGTAGATAAATAATTGATATAAAAAATTAAGATTGAAATTTTGAACAATACTTTGTTTAGGGAACTGTCTCTGCTACTGAATTTTATAAGCGCAATCATCAATGGTCCGAAGGTCTTATTTCGGCAGCAAAAGCGATTGCTATGGGTGCAAATTTTTTATTGTAAGTGTAAAGTATCTAAGTATCCAATTGTCTAGTAATTTTTCTAAATACGATATATGTTCTTATATAGAGAAGCAGCGGACAAAGTTGTGTCAGGCAATGGCAAATTTGAACAATTGGTTGTTGCTTCGCAAGGAATTGCAGCATCCACTGCACAATTGGTAGTTGCTAGCAGAGTTAAGGCAGATAGAAACAGTACCAATTTGACAGAACTCTCTAAAGCTTCGAGAGAAGTGACTCAAGCTACAGCGAATGTTGTGGCAACTGCTAAAAGTTGCAATCATCCTGTTGAGGAAAATGTATTGAAAATCTATTTAACTATTATACTGTCTTGTACATTATTTCTTAATACACTCTTTTGTATTTTATAGAAGATCTAGATATGTCCAGTCTGAATTTACATCAGGCTAAAAGACTTGAGATGGAAGCACAGGTGCGAATCCTAGAACTAGAGCAGGCTCTAGAAACTGAGAGATTACGTCTAGCCGCTCTTCGACGTTATCATTATCAACTTGATGGTGGTAATGAAGCATAAGCTGAACATGGATTGTTTTCTTATATCAAGGATATTCAACAAAACGCAAAAAAAAAAACGCAAAAATTGTATGTAGATAAAGAATCATAACAATTGTGTAAATTAATCTCTACTCAACTACTCATAGAAATCGATTCTTTGTCATTAGAAACGAAACTCATTATTCATTTATCATCAGCATTTATATATTTTATATATTGCATGTCTCGAAGATCAATGATATTTTCCGTCATATTATGATAAAATCAATTAAATGTACTTTATTAAATGATGCTCGAATAATATTTATCTGTTACATATCAAGAATACTTTTTTATGTGGTTGTGTCATTTTTTAATTCTCTCGGAATCGTTTTTTACGTTACCTATGTATCAATGAGCATTTATAAAATAAAGTACATTTTACGATAAATTTAATGAGCAATGAAATTAAAAATGTCTACAAGTTTCTATTATATTTGGAATAATTTTATAAGAAAATCGTGTTTTTCTTTATATATATATATATATATATATATAAGAAGGAGGATTATATGTTAAGTGATCAATATCGGAAATTTTAGAGATCTACAAACTTTACTAACTTGTTAGATATATATGTAAGGTTTTCTGTTGTCACGAATGTATGATCTGTGTATGTTGCATCGTAATTAATTTAGACTAAACTGCAAATTTCTATTGCGTTTTCTCGACGATCTAGAAAATCTATTGTATAAGAAAAAAGAGAAACTTAACATATGAAATTCTTCTAACGTGGTCTTACCAAAGTTATTATTTTATAAACAGTTTTTCTCAATAAATCATTAAGAGAGAATGACTTGTGTTCTCAATGTTTAATTTAAATTAGTGTATCTATATGCGATAGATTATATTTAATATACATTTTTTTTTAATTTATCGTTTAATAATTCCGAATTATTAGCTGTCATATATAATTGAATAAAAACTGATTACAATGATAATTGTATCATCTGGTTTTGTGTTTATCGATCATATAATTACGTCAATTTGTTTATTTATTTATTTATTTGTAGATAGAATAAAAGTTAGCATGACAAAATTTGAATTGTAATAACTTTAATTTTATAATCGCGTCATAAATACATACTTATTAATTAAACATCTGTGCAATAATAAATCATAAATTTAATACACACATACCACGTTATAAAGCCGTTTTTATATTGATAAATTTATATATCGACAATCAGTAATGTCAATTTCTTCCATTATCTTCGGATCTATTTGATAGTCGTTGGAAAATTTACCCAGAGCTGGCTGCTTAAATAGTGCCTCGGTGGTGGTAACTGTAATTATCAATTATTAATGCGTGTTAAGACGTGCTGATCGATAAAGACGGAACGGTTGCCAGTCGAACAGACAGGAAACTCTCGCGATCGACACGGGTTTTATATTGTACGATCAGCGGAATTAACGAGACCGCTCGCAGCATGGCGTCGACCGAGACGTGTGTCGTCCAGGAACGCGAATGAGAAGCGTGGTACGCTTTGTTTTGCACTTTCTCGAAAAGATTTTTACACATACATATGTCTCGCGCTTTAATGAAAATTCTCTCGTAAGGGCGCCAAGTCAGGTGAGAGCCCAGGAGAGAGAAAAGAGAAAGGAGAGAAGAGAAGAAGACAGAGAGAGAGAGAGAGAGAGAGAGAGAATTAGAAAAAAAGGAACGCGGTGGTAAGACGGTGGGTGCCTCGAACGGAATCGCCGTCGCGTTTCAACGTCCTCGAGATTCCGTGGGTATGATGCGGACCGTTGCGGACTCGCGCATTCCGGATATGGCGGCAAATTTCGGTTGGAATGCGGCTATGCCGGGGAGGGCGTGAAACCGGACGCATCGGGACGCGAAGGAGGCGAGGGGACGCGTTAAACGCGTTTCTCGACGTACGTCCGCATATACGGGTGAAACACGGCAACGGCACGTTGATAATCAATGACGGTGTAAACGCGGCTCGCGGCACGTTCAAAGCCAGCGGCTCGAAGCCGTGCACGTCGCCGCATTTTAAAGCGCAGTGACGACTTATCATGGCGGCGTGATTTTTTTTAGCTGCCAGTCCGTGTGTCTCGGCTCGCGCTCCATCTCTCTCTCCTTCTCCGTCTATCTTACTGGCTTTCTCCCCCCCTCTCTCCGCGTGTATACGTGACGTCCCGCTTCTCGAGGAATTCACACGAGAGTTAACTAACGTACGCGAGTCGGGACTCGGGACGTGAGATCCGCCGCACGCGTGTGAGAGATTCAATCCGGCAACCTCGTCCCAGGACTTAGTCCGCCGCGCGAATCGCGATAAGCCCGACGTGTATCTCTGATAATAGCGGCACGACGATTCGACGAATAGGCCCCACGTTTAGTTCAAGAACCCTTTTTATGTATATGCACGCGCACACGTACGTGAACGTATGTATGCGCACGTACATTTGTTTACAAATTTTGTGCTCTACTCCCGCTGATAGCTACCAGGAGCCTTTGCATCGCGAAGGTGGTAGCGTTCGACGAACGATGTAGCGGATCTCTGTTGTGATGCACCACTAAAGATCCCCTATCCACTTATACCTTGTGACTTTTTAAGATACGTCAGGATGAACAAGCGACGTAGAACATCGTCAGTGGCGAGTCGTGGCACCGAGGATGACGGCGACGATATCCCTCCAGAGCCAACGAAAAGGAGGAAAAAACTGGATCCTGTGAGTGTGTGCCATAATCTCATAATATTTATATGTAGATTGTATGTTTGTTTCTCAAATATGCATTAATTATTCGTGTCTTGCATAGAGCGATTTGTGCCAACAATTATATGACGTACTTCGTAATCAAAAGAAGGAGGATGGATCCCTGCTATGTGATGCATTTATACGTGTTCCGAAACGTAGGCAGGAACCAGGATACTACGAAGTTGTTTCTAATCCTATAGATCTTTTGAAAGTGCAACAGAAACTAAAAACTGATGAATATCGTGATATGGATGATCTTGCGGCTGATATTCAGCTTATGGTTAACAACGCCAAAGCTTTCTACATGGTAAGATCTTATGTTTTATGCATATTTAAATATTAATTGTTATTGCTAGTTATCTATTTCTTTGCAAACGAGATGCTTCTATGTATAATTTGTATAGCGTACCTCGCCTGAATACAAAGATGCGACTGAATTATGGGAATTATGTATAAATACTAAAAATCGTATTATGGAGGAATATGAAGATCCAGAACCTAAAGGAAAACTTATTCTAAAAGTTGGGAGATTGGTAATTTGATTTAATGAAACCCTTAAATTTTTTTTACGTATATGACAATGTGATAAAATTATCAATGTATTACAATATATGTGTTTAGACACGTAAAGTAACAACACGGCAAGATGATGCAGAAGATACTTCTGAGAGTTCAATGAATCTCGATGAAGAAACTATGCAACTATTTGAAGATTTGTTTGCAGCTGTTATGACAGCAACTGATCCCACTGACAATAACAGACCTCTTCATGTTATGTTTCAACTAAAACCTTCTAAAAAGGTTTGTAATTTGCCTTTAAATTACGCTTAAATTAACGCACTGCTTATTTAAAATTTCATTAATGTTGTAGCTGTATCCTGAGTATTACGATGTCATTGAAACACCGATCGATTTAAAAACTATTGCGAGAAAAATTCAAGAAGGTGCATATAGCTCAATTGGCGATATGGAGAAAGATTTAATACTCATGTGCCGCAATGCTTGTCAATTTAACGAACCTGGTTCGCAAATTTATAAGGACGCCAAACTTTTGAAAAAGATAATTATGGCAGCCGCGAGAAGACAAGACAGCGGATTTAGTAGTAACACTCCTAAGATCGCTACAACCGCACCATCAACGAGAAGCAAAAGAGGTAGTCGTACTATGGCGCAATCGTTAATAGCACAAACTGCAACATTACCTGATGAAGATGATGAGAGCGATGACGAAGAAGAAGAATCTGCTGAAACTGAAGAGGCTGATAATCCACAATGGCAACTATTTCAAACCATCCGGACAGCTCCTAATAATCAAGGTATTATTTATATTATCCTATAATATTATAGATTATGAATGTGCTATTGTCTTACAAAATTTTTCACAAATCGTACTTCGTATTATATTGCATAGGTGTAAGAATGAGCGAATATTTTTGGAAATTACCATCGAAGAGATTATATCCTGATTATTATAAGACGATTAAGAATCCTATATCTTTATTACAAATACGTACAAAAATAAAGGTACATATTCATATCTTATAGGATATACTTTAAGGATATACTTTATATTAAGATATTATATTATGTAAACCAGTATTATGACATTTATATAATGAAAACCAGTATTATGACATTTTTAATTATGATTTTTAGAAAGGTGAATATGGTACTGTTAGTGAAGTAGCTGGAGATATGAATATCATGTTTGAAAATGCTAAGAAATATAACATGCATACTTCTCGATTGTATAAGGTAATAATTTTGTGATTAACATATTTTATTTAAATTTATTGTCGTTTTGTTTAACTATGAAAAACGTAATGTTATATAAAATATACGATATATATGTTATAAAGAATTCCAGTTCTTAATCAAACTCAAAGAATTTATTGTTGGAATAATATTGAAAAATATTGCAAATCAAGTTTATTCTCTTTTTTTTTACAGTGTGCTGTTAAATTACAAAAAATAATGCAAGAGAAAGTACAAGAACTTTTAGAATTTGATCAGGTAATGTACTGCACGCTTAATGCTAAATTGATAATTGCAATAACTTTATCCTATAGTATCTTTAAAAAAGGAGATAATATATCAAATTTTCAATATTTCTGTAGGATTCTGATTCGGATAGCGAATCCGAGAATAGTTCGCAGCAACCTAAATTGATTAAACGTGCTTCAAATTTATTGACACGAGGAAAATATAAAGACAATATACCACTGAAGAAAAGATTATATGCACTAGTCAAGTGTGTCATAGAATACGTTGTAAGTAATTCCAAAACACATCATGTTTGATGCGATCGGTTAACGTATAA